TGTAACAAACCTACTCATCTCATCCCTGCTACTAGACATTAGTGAAGAAACATAATTGGAAAGTTTAACAAACTTCAAGGGGTATTCCTTGACTGACATACCTCCCTGACGTAGGTTGATGAACTCCTCAAACTTATCCCTTTCTCTACTCTCTTGGAAAGAACTTCTCTAGGAATGCGGTCTTGAGAATTTCCCTACAACATTCCAAATAATATACTTTGGACATATTAGCTTAAGGGTGTTAGCAAATTTCTATATATTCACAAGGGTGTATATTAAAATACAAGCTTGTCTAAGAAATGTACATGCAATGAAAATCCTAAGCTAAAAATACACATTTTAATTCTCAACCCAGCACATGAGGTACTAGAAATCCAAGTGTGAAGCCTAGGTACCATGTCACATGATTATTTAAAATGATTATGTAGATTAAGCAGTGCCCGAGGACATAGTGAGGATCCTTGGGACAATCAGTAAACATTCCATATAAACCATCAAGAATAGTTAGTTAGGAAAGTTCAAGAAACACATGTGCAAGAACATGTGAAATCGGCCAAGGGGGGACCATGCAACCACCCTAATCGAATTTGATTAGGGTATTTAGGGGCAGGCGTGTGCACGGGTCAATCCATGTGGGGCCCAACTCCCTAACAAACTATAGACTCTAACTAACCGACAAAACTAACGAACTAACCTTGGACCAAACAAAAATAACTAAGGTACCCGACAACCTAAGAACTAGTCGGGTGACAACAAACCGTGTAACTAACTAAGAGACAACCTAGTACCTAAAATAGGATGGTCTAAAAGGGTTAGTTATGGTCCTAATGACTTATGTTGCCGAATCACTTAGGAAAAATTCAGATTTGACTAAGTCAAATGCTTTCCTATTTTTAGTCAACTTAGGAGGGGCGTTTTAGTAATTAACTAAATAATTTATTTAATTTACTTAATTAGCCTTAGTTGAATAGTAAATATTAGTTTATATGACTTAGACTCACGTTCAAACACTAGAAAACTCATGACTCAAAATAGTAAGCAATCGTGAGAAAAATAGTAAGCAAAACGATGAAAAAGAGAACAATTCTCTTAGGCGATTTTCAAGGTATTCTTCAAGGTTTTACTACAAGGTGATCTTCATAGATTCAGTTGTACATTAGATATGGGTTTTCTCTCCTGGAATTATTTCTCCAAGAGGCCTTTCTAAAGTAGGGTTGTTCACAATGATATTATTGAACGTCCATCTCCCTAATTATCCTTGTTTTCAATTTCATAAGTACATAGATGTAATCCCAAACATGTGTTGGTATGTGGTGCGAAATGATCATTATGTGTACATTCTTGATTCTTAATGACTAATAAGTCCTAAATACTTTATTCATACGATTAGGGTATTAATTATCTGAAATAAAGAATGATGTAATGCTATATTGTGTTCAAGAATATGAAGTTTGTTAAAAGTTGATTATGAAGTTAGCTATTGTTAAATGTCGACTTGCTTATATTGAGGGGATCATTATAATACATTCATGGAATTAATTAATGTGGCTAGTGATAACATCTGAAAATTGTTCAAGGGAAAGTTTGGCTTATGCCAATAAATTGGCTAACAATACATTGTCCAAAAACATGAATGGAATTGGCTTACAATGTTATTTCAAAGATATGATGAAAAAATTGGCTAATGTCTAAGTTAAACCAAATTAAGCATGACCAATGTAACTTTGAATTCATAACCAAGGGTCTGCTAATCATTGGGACAAGTCCCAACATAACTTTCTCAAATCAACTATGAAAATAAGTAAGTACATTGAACAAAATTTATAACAATCATAAAGAGTGGTATAAATTTACTAAATGACATTGAAATATATAAGGTGAGTAATAAAATAATAAAAAGTTTAAGAATTATGAAAGTTACCAGAATGAGGTGTTAAAAGAAGTGAGACAACTATCACTCACTCCTAGAAAATTATTTTAAAGATACTCGAATAAGAGGGCGTTAATAATTGTGAGACAAGTCTCATTAACACCAAGATGATAATGTATTGTTAAATTCACATTTCACCAAGTAAGTAAAGGGATGACCGGTTATCCAAAGAGTTAAGTAAACCTCACAACTAGAAGCAAGCTTCCATAATGTTTGAGTCAACTCTAAAAAATGTAAAGAAAAAGAAGTTGAGCAAAGCATAGATATACTAGCAATGAGTTTGTGCAAGCACATGTAAGCCTCATGAGATGAGACTACCACCAAGGTGGATTAGTAATCTCCGTGTGTCTCCTAGTCTTCAAACTATGTTGCCAGCATAGGAACTACCAAGTGTATTCCACCTAAGAGTGCTTGGTATGATGCAGTTTCACTTTTGCTGGTGAAACCACCCCTTTTTGGTGTGAGGTAGACATTGGAATTCATGCTTAGATCACATGATATATGTCTGTTAAATGGTACAAAAAAGTATTTGGTTCACTTTAGCCGTGAACCACCTCTTTTTGGTGTGGGGAAAACACTGAACTTGGTTTCACTTTAGCTGGTGAACCACCCATTTTTGATGTGGGGAAGACACTGGATTTCATGTTAGCTCACATGATTTAGGTTCACTTTGACTGATTTACCACCCCTTCTAGGTGTGGAGAAGACACTGGATTTCATGTTAGCTCGCATGATCTTAATGCTAAAGATGTCTTTAAGAAAGTGAGGAAGAAATAAGAAGAAACGTAATTTCAAAGTGAGCTAAGAAAGTAAGAGCTTAAGTATGTAAAATCATATTTGGTTGGTAAGAATGAAGTTTTAACAAGTTATTGGCTTGTGCCAAATCATGATATATGTTCCAATATCTTCATGTTAAGCAAATGATCAAATAATGGGCATAGCCAAATAAAAATTTGCTTATAATGACTTCTTATATTATGCCAATAAAGGGGGGTAAAATATAATAGCAAATAAATGTCCCACAAGCTACATAATATGAAAATGATGAAATAAGTGTCCTAGCCAATAAAGATTTCATGCCCAATCTAAGAAGAATGGAAATAGTAACTTGTAGTAAGGGTAGCTAAATCGTTTCCATAGTCTTTTAATATTACTTATTTCATTCATTGTAGGTATGGGACTGCAATGAATAACTTCAATTGTAAGTAAAACATGAGATTAAAGAGATCTTTGAACTACACAATAACAAGAATAAAAAGACTGAAATATAAGCTAAGTGGTGGGGAAGGAGCTCTCAAGTTTGGAGGAGCAAATTTAAAAATTTTCGTTCGAGTTGTTCTAAAATTATGTTCATGATAATAAGGTCTTATGTCCATAAAGAAAATTATTTGTGTTCTTTGAATGCATTAAAATATGTAATATTCATACCATAATTAACACATAACTAATTAAGAAACTCTAGTGACTTCACTTTCCAGAAATGACATGTTGTTATAGGACGAACTTTCCTTGATCATGCATAGTCCTTATATGTATATGTGCATATACCCATACTTAGTAAAAGTGTGTACTAACGCTATACTATTACTATTTTATAGGCGCGTATTAGAGAAGAGATTGAAGACTCATTAAAGTGGTTTGGATAAGTAGGTCCTCTTTAGTTCGAGAATCCTACACCTATCATTCTAGATTAGTAATTTGGATATAGCTAGTGGATGTTGTCCCTAATATTTCATTTTAGACTTTTATTTAAAGCTTTGTATTAAGGTCCTTTGGCAAACTATTAGATATATTGATTTCTTCATTGAATTGATTGATTGTAAATGGTTTTTAAGTTTGAGATTATTAGAATATTACTCTATATAGTAATTAAATGACGTCTATGTATACTTCATTATGTTCTAAAAGTTTTAGATTTTCTACAAATTTAACTATATGATTGTGATGGAAGATGAGAAGAGGCTTGTCTGCGACCTTTGAGACCTTAACAACGCTGATTGCATTCAGATTCAAGAATCCGGGTGTAAAAAACTTGGTATCAGATCATGAGGTTAAATTACCTAGGAATTAAATCTCAAAACAACCACGTTACGTAGTTTCTAACTTATGGTTGTGAAGTGCGCTACAATCATGACTTAGAGACTAAGTGATGACAAGAAACCTACCTTGTTCTACTCTTTATCGTGTTGTCTATAGATTTCACATTTTATGTCATTTTAGTGTATAACTTCCTTCTTGTGTATACGCGTAGAAAATGAACACAAGGAGAAACGCAGGCAGAATAGTCGAAGAAGCAGCTACTGGGGGAAACCAAGCTCCATCTCAAGCCCCAGCTGTTGGAGTGCAAGTGCCTGTCAACCCAGCTGCGTTGACGGATGGAGAAGTAAGAGAAACACTAGTTCAGTTGGCCCAAGCCATCACTACTCAAGCATAGGATATCACAGCCTAGGCCACTAGAGAGGGTACTCCAAGGGAGAACCCACATGCTAGAACCATGGCTAGAAGACTGAGGTATTTTACTAGAATAAATCCTCCAGTCTACTTCGGGTCCAAAACAAATGAGGATCCCCAAGAGTTCACCGGATGAAGTCCACAAGATTCTTTCTACCATCGGGGTGAGTGAAAAGGAGAAGGCTAAGTTGGTTGCATATCAACTCAAAGATGTTGCTCAGGTGTGGTACAAAATATGGGCAGATAGCCGAGCACCAGAAGCAGTACCCATTACTTGGGACATTCTTAATACTGCATTCCTGGAGAGGTTCTTGCCTAGAGCGCAGAGAGAGTCTAAGTTTAAGGAGTTTATCAACCAACGACAGTGAGGTATGTTAGTCAAGGAGTATTCCTTGAAATTTGTTAAGCTCTAAAAATATTCTTCTTCTCTAGTGTCCAATCGCAAGGATGAGATGAGCAGATTTGTGACTAGTGTATCGAAGGATCAGGAGGAGAAATGTCGTTCAGCCATGTTGTAACATGGAACTTGGTGGATTGATGGTTCATGCACAGAAGGTGGAGGAGAGTCGACGAAGAAAGAGAGGTAGAGAAGGAAAGAAGCCTAGATCCTCATATCAGGATGGTTCTAGCTCTAGTACGAGTTCGTTTGGAGTTCAGGAAAGATCCAAGTTCAAGAAGGGGCACAAAGCTTAGGTATAATCGTGTTACTTCCAGAAACTTGAATGCCAAAATGGAAAAGTCTGGACCAAAAAAGGGCAATGATAGAAATGCCCAGTGTAGCATGAAGTCATGTGGTAAATATGGCCATTTGCATGAAGGTTAGTGCTTGGCAGGTACTAATATCTGCTATGGGTGCGGCAAGAGTGGGCATATGGTCAAGGACTAACCACAAGGGAGGAATCATGACAAGGCAGATTATTAGCATCATCCTAATCCTATTGCTGCAGCCGAACCTCCCAAGAGGAACACGTTACATGCTTTGAAATGTAGAGAGGAGCAAGATAAGTCAGCTATGTGGTCATTGGTACGTTACATCCCCTTCGTCATTTGCTATTACTTTAGTATCTATTAAGTTTGACTTACTTCCTGATTTCTTTCATGATCCTTTTCTAGTTAGTACTCCAATATGAGACGACATTAGAACTGAAAGATTACCTAAAGAATGCCCAAATAATATTCTTGACAGAGTAATCCATGTTGACCTAATAGAATTAGCCATGCTTGATTTTGATATAATCTTCGGTATAGATTGGCTCCATGAGTTTTATGCTAAAATAGACTATCAAAACAGGGTAGTAAGGTTTCAGTTTCCAAACGAGTTAGAGCTGGAGGGGCGTGGTTAAAATCCAACAAGACAAATAATTTCAAACCTTAAAGCCAATAAGATGTTATCTAAGGGGTATTTATACCACTTTCTAAGACTCAATGACTTAGAGCATGAGGTTCCTTCTATAGACTCTGCGCCCATATTGAATGAATTTCAAGATGTTTTTCTAGAGGATTTACCAGAAATCCCTCCTGAATGCAAAATTGATTTTGGTGTTGACTTAGATCCCAACATCAAACTGATTTCAATTCCTCCCTATAGAATGGCTCCAGCTAAACTCAATGAGTTGAAGTTTAAATTAAAAGATCTACTTGATAAGGGCTTCATCAGGCTGAGAAAATTCATATGGGGTGATCAAGTGTTGTTTGTCAAGAAAAAGGATGGAACTCTTAGAATGTGTGTCGATTATCATCAACTCAACAAAGTCAATATAAAAAAACAAATACCCTCTCCCCAGAATTGATGATCTATTTGATCAACTCCAAGGTTCAAGTGTCTTTAAAAAATAGATCTTTGGTCAGGGTATTACAAGCTTAGAGTGAGACAAGAGGACATTCCTAAGACTTTCTGCCATTCTAGGTATGGTCATCACGAGTTTTTTGTCATGTCATTTGGTCTTACAAACACACCAGCCACGTTTATGAACCTTATGAATAGGGTCTTCCATGAATACCTTGATTTTTTTGTCATATTATTCATAAATGACATTCTCATATACTCTATGTCTAGAGAAGAGCATGAACAACATTTGAGAATGACATTACAAGCACTCATGGAACATCAATTGTATGGAAAGTTCAGTAAATATGAGTTTTGGCTCAAATCAGTGACCTTTCTTGGTCATGTTGTGACCGACCAGGGTGTTGAAGTCAATCAAAAAAAGGTTGAATCGGTGAAGAATTTTCCGAGACCTCTCACTCCCACAGATATTCGGAGTTTCTTTAATTTGACTAATTATTATCGCAGGTTTGTTGTGTGTTTTTCTACTATTGCTTCTCCATTGACAGACTTAGAGAAGAATAAGGTGAAGTTTGAGTGGTCTGCAAAGTGTAAGAAGAGCTTCAAAGATATCATAGACAGACTCACTCCAACCACAATGCTTACATTGCTGAGGAGTGGTGAAAGGTATATGGTATATTATGATTCTTCTCGAATAGGTTTGGGATTTGTTCTTATGCAGGGTGGAAAGGTGATTGCATATGCATCCAGGCAGTTGAAAGTCCATGAGAAGAATTACCCTTCCCATGATATTGAGTTAGCTGTTGTGGTCTTTGTGTTAAAACTGTGGAGACATTACATGTATAGTGTACATGTTGATGTATTTACTCACCATAAAATTCATCAGTATGCTTTTCACAGAAAGAACTAAATCTTCGGCAGAGAAGATGGTTGGAGCTGCTCAAAGTTATGACTTGAGTGTTCACTATCACCTAGGTAAGGCAAATGAAGTGGTTGATGTTTTGAGACTATTGAGCATTGCCAGTGTGTCTCATATTGATGATGAGAAGAAATATCGGGTTAAAGAAGTACACCAATTTGTTAGACTAGGTGTACGGCTGGTGGATATACCAAATGGGGTTGTTTCATTTCATTCCAGTTTTGAATCCTCATTTATTGTAGATTTCAAAGCTAAGAAGCATCTCGGCTCAGTACTTATGGATTTGAACAACTCGGTGTTGAGTAAGCTGAATGAGTCATTCTCCCTAGGGGAGGATGGTGTGTTTAGATACCAGAGTAGATTATATGCCAAATATTGATGATTTGAGGCCTATTATTGTTGAGGCTCTTGGCTCCATGTATTCTATCCATCCAGGTTCTGCCAAGATGTATCATGACCTCAAGGAGATCAATAGGTGGGAAGGTATGAAAAGAGATATCTCTAAGTTTGTGGAGAAGTGTCCCAGTTGCCAACAGTTTAACACTATACACCTTAAGCATGGGGTCTTACCCAGTAAATTGACATCCCAACATCAAAATGGGAGGATATTAATATGGATTTTGGGGTTATTCTGCCCATGACAAGGAAACTGCAAGATTCCCTTTGGGTCGTTGTTGACATCATGACTAAGTCTGCACCCATCATAACTGTGAAGTCTACTTAAAGGGGCGAAGACTATACCAAGTTTTATATTGATGATATAGTGATATGGCATGGGATCCCTTTATATATCATTTTATATAGAGGAGCCCAGTTCAGTTTTCATTTTTGAAGATCTTTCATAAAGAGCATGGGTACAAAGGTGAAGCTTAGTACTGCTTTTCATCCCCAGGTGGATGGACAGGCAGAGCGTACCATTAAGAACCTTAAAGACATGCTGAGAGCATGTGTTATTGACTTCAAGGGGAATTCGGGTTGATGACTTGTCGCTGATTGAGTTCTCTTAAAATAATAGCTACCCTTCCAATATTGGGATGTCACCTTTTGAAGCATTATATGATAGGATATGTAGGTCTCCAGTTGGGTGGTTTGAGGTAGAATAGTCTTCCATCCTTGGATCTAAGATCATAAATGAGGCTGTGGAAAAGGTTAGGATGATTAGGGATAGATTTGCTACTACTTACAGTCATCAAAAATCCTATGCAAATAACAGGAAGAGAGATCTTGAACTTTAGATGGGTGATAAAGTCTACCTGAAGATATCACCAATGAAAGGGGTGATGAAGTTTGGTAAGAAAGGGAAGTTGAGTCCAAGGTATATAGGTCCGTATGAGATCTTACAACGAGTAGGAAATGTGGCCTATGAACTGAAGTTACCACAAGACTTGGCTCCTGTGCATCTAGTGTTTAATATTTCAATGATTAAGAAGTGTTTAGGCGATCCAGCATCCATCCTCCCTGTTGAGGGGTTAGGAGTTGATGAGAACCTTTCTTATGAAAAGGTTCAAGTTAAAATCTTAGATTTGTAAGTGAAGTAGCTTATGAACAAGGATGCTGCCACCGTGAAGGTATTATGGAGAAACCATCTTGTTGAGGGAGAAACATGGGAGGCCAAGGCCGATATGAGATCCCGTTACCCTCACTTGTTAAGTTCTTGAGGTTAGATATACTCTTCCTAAATCTTGTTTTGTTTAAGTAAATTTTACTTATTAGCGCATTAGTCGATTTGATGTTTTAAGTCTATAATCGTGTGTCTTACACTTGCACTATATGACTAAAAATAAGTTCATGCTTGCATTCATGTTGCTGTTTTTGTACAGCGTAGACATGATTTTTGTGTTGCATGAGTTATGATGTGCATAAAGTTAAGTGTTATTGAGAATGAAGTTCCTCAATCTCAAATATGAAGCTTCATAGAAGCTTGAGTAATATGCATCATCCAGAGTAAGTGTGAATCAGAAATTCACAAAGAGTAAAGTTTCAAGTATGTTAATGTGTTTTCGAAATTAACATCTTTGACTTAAAATGATGTGTAGTGTCATTCGGGGACGAATGTTCCTAAGGGGGGGGGGATAATGTATCATTCAAAAAATGTACTCGTCGAGTGAAAACCCTATTAGGTTTTAAGAATAGCTATGGGGGTGCATAGGAATCCCAATACCCAATATTGAGTAGTATTGGGCATATTAGAAAATATTGGCTTAAGAGTGTTAGGCAATTACTCTATATAAACAAGGGTATATATTAAAATCCAAGCTTGTCTAAGAAATATATCTGCAATGAAAACCCTAAGCTAAAAATACACATATTAATTCTCAACTCAACAAATAATATCCAAGTTTCAAGCCTAGGTACCATGACACATGATTATTTAAAATGGTTATGTAGATTAAGCAGTGTCCAAAGACATAGTTAGGATCCTTGGGACAATAATTAAACATTCCAAATGAACCATAAAGAAAAATTAGTTATAAAAGTACAAGAAAAACATGTGCAATCACATGTGAAACCGGCCAGGGGGGGACAATGCAACCACCTAACCGAATTCGGTTAGGGTAGTTAGGGGCAGGCATGTACACGGGTCCATCCATGTGGGGTACAACTCCCTAACAACCTCTAGACTCTAACTATTATTTTAAGAGAACTCAATCAGGGACAAGTGATAATCCCAATTCCCCTTGAAGTCAATAACACATGCTCTCAGCATGTCTTCAAAAGTCTTAATGGTACGCTCCGCCTGTCCATCCGTCTAGGGATGAAAAGCAGTACTGAGCTTCACCTTTGTACCCATTCTCTTTAGGAAAGCTCATAAAAAATGAGAAGTGAACTGGGCTCCTCTATACGAAATGATAGATAAAGGTATCCCATGGCATCTCACTATCTCATCAATATAAAACTTGGCATAATCTTTGGTCGTTTAAAAGACTTCACAGCAATGAAAGGTGAAGACTTAGTCATCCTGTCAACAATGACCCAAATGGAATCTTGCAGTTTCCATGTCCTTGACAGACAAACCACAAAATCCATATTAATAGCCTCCCATTTCCATGTTGGGATCTCAATTGATTGGGTAAGACCCCAGGAAACGTAAGACCTAGTCGGGTGACAGCAATCGTGCAACTAACTAATAGACAACCTAGTACATAACCTAGGATGTCCAAAAGGGTTAGTTATGCTCCTAATGACTTAGGGTTACTTTGGTAATTACCCTAGGCCCCTTAATTAATTAAATTATCAACATAATTAATTAAATAAAAATCATTACGTTGGCCGAGAAACATAGAAAAATTTAAAATTTAACTAAGTTAAATTCTCTCTTATTTTTAGTCAACTTAGGAGGGGCATTTTAGTACTCAACTAATTAATTTATTTAATTAAGTAAATTATCCTAAGATGAATTAGATTATATAAGTTCCTAAGACTTATACTCACGTTCAAACACTAGAAAACTCACGACTCAAAACAGTACACAATCGTGAGATAAAAAGTTAAGCAAAATGTAGAAAAATAGAAAGGTTCTCTTCGGCGATTTCAAGGTATTCTTCAAGGTTTTCGGACAAGGTGATCTTCCAGATTCAATTCTACATTAGGTATGGGTTTTCTCTCCTGGAATTCTTTCTTCAAGAGGCCTTTCAAACGGTTTAAATTCATGAATGTCGAAAATAGGGTTGTTCTCAATGATATTGTTGAACGTCTATCTCCCTAGTTATCCTTGTTTTTTAGTCTATGAGTATATAGATGTAATCTCTAACATGTTATTGGTATGTGGTGCTAACTGATATTTATGTGTAGGTTCTTAATTTGTTAATGACTAATGAGGGCTATATGTTTGATTCATACGATTAGGTTATTAGTTATATGAAATAAAGAATGATGTAATGCTAAATTATGTTCGAGAATATGAAGTTTCTTAAAAGTTGATTATTAAATTAGCTATTGTTAAATGTAGACTTGCTTATATTGAGGAGATCACTATAATACATTAATGGAATTAATTGATGTGGCTAGTGATAACATAATAAAAGTTATTTAAGTAAAAGTTTGGCTTATGCCAATAAATTGGCTAATAATACATTGTCCAAAAAGTTGAATGGAATTGGCTTACAATGTTATTTCAAAGATATGATAAAAAAAATTTGGCTAATGACTATGTAAAACAAAATTAAGCATGAAAAATGTAACTTTGAATTCATAACCAAGGGTATGCCAATTATTGGGATAAGTCCCAACATACACTTTCCAAATGAACTATGAAAATAAGTAAGTATATTGAACAAAGTTTATAATGTTCATAAAGTGTAGTATAAAGTTACTAAAAGACATTGAAAAATATAAGGTATGTAATAACATAATCCAAAGTTCAAGAATTATGAAAGTGACCAGAATGAGGTGTTAAAAGAATTGAGACAAGTCTCACTCACTCCTAGACATTTATGTTAAAGATACTCCCATAAAAGGGTGTTAATAATCATGAAACAAGTCTCATTAACACCAAGATGATAATGTAAGGTTAAATTAACGTTAATAATCATGAAACAAGTCTCATTAACACCAAGATGATAATGTAAGGTTAAATTAACATTTAAACCATTAAATAAAGGGATAACTGTTTATCCAAAGATTTAAGTAAACCTCATAACTTGAAGCAAGCTTCCATAATGTTTGAGTCAACTCTAAAAGATGTAAAGAAAAAGAAGTTGAGCAAAGCATCTATAGACTAGAACTGATCTTGTGCCAGCACATGTAAGCCTCATGAGATGAGGCTACCATAAAGGTGGACAAGTAGTCTCGATATTTCTCCTAGTCTTCGAACTATCTTGCCAGCATGGAAATTAGAAAGTGGATTCCACCTAAGAGAGCTGTATGATGCGGTTTCACTTTGGATGATGAAACCACCCTTCGGTGTGGGACAGGCATTGTATTTCATGCTTAGATCACATGATCTATGTAGTTTAAATTCTCAAATAAAGTATTCGGTTCACTTTAGCCGT